TCCTGTATGCCTGTGATTTGTAAGTTTGGTCTTTTTATGGTGTCACACAATCCTGCATATTCCCTTCTTGCGTTTTCTTAAATTTTTCATAATCTTTGCTTGAGTGGTCTAATTCGTCCACTTTATCTTCCAGTCTTGATATTCTGTTTTCCATTTCATTCATCCTATTGGTGAAGCTTTCTCCTGTCATTTCTAATTGGCCTACTGAATGTTTCACTCCCTTCTTCATTTCAGCCTGAGTATTCTTCAGTATTTCTAACTTTTTTCTGAATTCATTCAGAAGTTTATCCCTATCTTCTTTCAGTTCTTTGATTTCTTTGTGTGTTCTTCAAATTCACTGAATTCTTTTATCATGTTTATAATTGTTCTTTTGAGTTCCATGTCCTGTGTTATCTCTAGTGGATTCTCATTGTACTCCTCTAGAGGACTTTTGGTACTTGGTAGGGATATATTATTTTGTTTTTTCATGTTATTATTTTTTCTCTGTGACTATGACGTGGATTTCTTTTGTAGTTTCTGATTCTTGTGTGAAACTCAAGCCTTCAGTTCAGGTCTGCTTCTTTTTGTGAACTTTATATGTCTTTGTGGTTTACTTTTGGGGCATGAAAAGCTGGTTCATCTAAGCTTCTGGTTCTCTCTTTTGATTTTATATTGGAGTGGCCAGATTGCTTTTGTCTTCAGGAGTTCCCACAGAGCCCCAAGTCAGATAAGGATCAGATGCTCTCAGGCTTTCTCCTAAGGTCTGGATCCCTCCAGGAAAGATGCTGCCCTCAGGAATTTGGGGGCTAGGCTGGCCTGGGTGCTGAGCCTAGGACAGATGCTGGTCCCAGGAAGCTGGTGGCTGTGCTACCCAGAGATGCAAAGGGAGGTGGGGGTGGGAAGAAGCCCCAAGGGCTCCTGGGGACTACTGGAAGGAACTGGGTAGGTCTGGATGCAAAGGATCAGGAAGCAGTGAGGATTCTGGGCCAAGAGGTCAGTCCAGGGATGTGGGGTACCAAAACAAGAAATGTGTCAGTCCCCAGGCCAGGATGAGAGATGAAGTGGGGGAGCTGGGAGGGTGAATGAGGCTGGGGGAATCAAGGCATGGCGAGCACCACTGGACTTACCCAGGAAAGATGCTGGCACCGGGAAGCTGGTGGCTGTGTAGCCCAAAGAAGCGAGAGAGGTGGTGGCGTGACCTTATTTTGGATTTTACAGGAGCCCACACTTAAGAAATTTTAAAGAGACACTTTAAACTTTTAAAGTGTTTGGATTCTTTAGGACTGTGGGACTTTGAAAGCTGTCCTATTTTATGTTTTGGGATATTAAAATTAACATCATATATTGGGGACAAGAAATGGAAAGATTTTGGTTTAATAGCAGTGCGTTTGCGTGTCAGGTTGACAAGGGGTCAACTGTGCTAGATAGCTTTAGTTGTCAACTTGACATACCTGATTAGAGGGAAGCTCAATTGGCTGGTCTGTGACCATGTCTATAGAACATTTGCTTAATTGTTAAGTGATGGGGGGCGGGGGCGGGGGGCTAGCCCACTGTGGGTGGTATAAGAAAAGCAGGCTGAGCATGGTCTAGGGGAAGAAGTCAGTAAGCAGCGTTCCTCCATGATCTGTGCTCTAGGTTCCTGCCCTGACTTCCTGCCTTGACTTCCCTTGATGAACCCTTTCCTGCCCAAGTTGGTTTTGGTCAGTGATTTTATCAGAACAATTGAAAGCAAACTAGAACATGGATTAGCAGTTACAAAGGACTCAATATGGGTTTGCTTCTCCTGTTTTCTGAAAGCATAACACTTTACAAAAGGAAGATCCTTCAAAGGCAGTACTTTCCTCACATCCATTTCACAGCTCCATTCAAAACCCCCATTCATCTTCCTTACCCAATTAAGAGATCAAAGCTGGATGGCTTGGCCTACTTTGGGGGTTTAAAGGCAGCCATAGAAAACCAAAAAACATTTAAAGCTGCCTTCTTTCCTCACATGTCTTCCTGTAGGAGGAATCCACTCATCCTCTCCTCTCTTACCTAGTCTCTGGAGGCAGAAAGTGAGGCCAGAGTTAGCATAAAAGATTCAGTTACAGTCTGTATAATCCCATCTAATCTCAATCAGCATGTCTGGTGTGCTTTTTGCTGTTTGTAGGGCTACAAGGTCCTTTTCAGAATCCACTGTCAAATTTTTGTGGGTTTTTTTCTGATTAATTTTGAAGACTCCATGTTAAAATTAAAATTATAAAAAATCCTAAAATCTAACTTCATTAGTCTCCATGGCTTACCAATTTTAGCACTACTGCTCATTTTAATAGTATAATATGGGGAGTTTATGTTCCCTAAAATAAGTCACACCTTGTCTTTCCTATTAGCACTGTGGGATTTGAAGCCCTAGTTTTAAAAAATCAAATACAGCATCCTTAAAAATTTAAGTAAGCCAAGTGTGATGTTTTATATCTACAGTCTCATTTGAGAGGGTAGAGAACTGCATGTGAGTTTGGGGCCAGCCTGGGATACGTAGAGATTTCCAGGTCTCCCTGGGCTACAGAATAAGATCCTATCTCAAAAAAAAAAAACAACAAAACAAATAAATTACATAAACTGCCTGTTGATGGGTTGTCTTTCTCTGTGGAGATCAATCTGTTGACACTACCAGAATTGGCTATGAGAAATGACCTTGAGTGGGAGCTGCCATTTGTTTCTATGGGAAAGTCAGGGCTCCCCCTCTACCTGGGAGTTCATACTGTGGCAGTTGGAATGCCACTAGGGCTCTTTCTCTGAGGGGTTATGCTGGAGCGAGAAATGCTTTGTGGCTTATGACAAGATCGTGGCAGAATATTTTGTGCATGCTGTGATTTGTATCGCCCATTTGTGCACAGGCCATAAAAGTGCACTTTTTATCAGGAACATTTGTGAATCTATAACAGCACTGAAGACATATGGCCACTAAATAATTCACGGTTATCTGTCTTCTCAGCGGATTCCGTATACACCTACCATGTTTTAATGCCTAGTTTGCTCAGAAACAATATTCTTTATGACTCTTCCAATACAAAAATGTTTACTGACTGGCAGCCATGGATGAATGCCATGGGACTGGGCTAGAAGAAGGGGAACCCTCTGCTTTCTCTGCCTCTCCCTTCTTCCTTCCCCAATCAACTGTTCCATCGAATACCCAACCTTCTAGCAAAGAGTGCCTCTTCAAGAAGGGAGTATGAACATCTGAATGTGGCCTAGAGGATGGAAGTCACTGACCAAGATGTCCTCTTCTCTTTCCAGCTCTATATCCATTTACAGTCCGAAGGAGAATCCAAACGCGTTCGACACTGCAGCGTTCTTCCAGTCCGTGGGGAACTTCCTGGGAATCTTTGCCGGCTCCTTTGCAATGGGCTCTGCATATGCAGTTGTCACAGCACTGATATCCTTTGTCTCTGTGTGGAAAGCTGAGGACTGTTCAGAGCAGCCGATAGAAAAGTGAATGGTGAGAGATCAGCACCGCTGAGCCCAAAGCAGCTCTGGGTGATCCCAGGAGGCGTTGGATCAGTACCAAGGGTAGATGAGGCCAGGTTCTTGTCCACAGTCAAGTCTAGCACTGTTGACAAGTGTCTTCCCTTAGGCACTTAAGAAAAGTTGGCACCTGAGAAAATTAGTGGGCATGGAAGAGTAGGCCTGACCACGCCAGGGTGAAGAGGAAGAACTGAAGATCTGTGATCAAGAATATAACAGCATTGATTAGGGCGATAAAGTGAGTATGCCCTGCTGCCAGGCGCCAGGTCATAGGGTAGGCCAGGATGACGATCACGGTGGGTTTAAAAAGTTTCACAGCTCTGGAGGGAGCCTGTAAGTAGTGCAGAAAGATGGTTGCCACAGGTGGCTTTTCCATTACCCTTTAATCATTGGGTGCAGCTCTGGGAGAGGCTGCCTGCTGTTTAGACTAGGCAGTCACAAAGACGATGAGCACACTGACTGAAGGTGTAGCATGTGTCAAGGCTGTCATGAGCACCTTGGCATTTGAATCCACCCTGTAAGACAGGTCATTCATATCCTCACTTTACACAGGAGGAAACTGAGCATAGGGAGGCAAATGGCCTCCCAAGCTCACTCTGGTCCCATATCAGTAATAATGAGCATAATAATGACAGCAGCTAGCATTTACTGAGAACTTTGCCATATGTCACCACTGCCCTAACCGTTTTCATGGATTGTCTCAGACAGCTTGTACAATGACCTCAGAAGGTAGATATTGTTAGTATCCTAATTGTACAGCTAAAGAATCTCTTGACTAGAACCATACAGGTAGGATACTTCATGACTGAGATTCAAAACCAGGCTTTCCAGTTTGACAGCCCACACTTAGTGGAAATCAGAGCTCTCCTCGGGCTGGTGTGAATGGAAGGTGTGGACATAGAACTGAGCAGGTTGGTGAGGAAAGGAAACAGTTCTACAGACGGGAAGTCTTCCAGCAGTCAGGCTACATCTGGAAGAAAGAGCATTGAGACAGAAGCGACAAGAGGCAAGGAGGGACACTGTGCCACGGTGCTGGGGTCTATTGTATGGCCCTTGGTGGCTTTAACAGGTTCTATATACCAGCTGTGGAGAAGGCAGGTACAAACAGCTATCTGCTCACCTACTAGCCTGGACATTTTGTCCACACTGAAGCAGTCTCCTCAGGTTGAGCCTTCAAGTTCTGGACTCAGAACTAATGGCATCCTGGAGAAAGTTAAAAGAAAGACTGTCCTATAGTCCACTGGTGTTATGTTAATCAACCTGGCATAAGTCTCCCCCTGAAAACAAACGAGAGGAGTTTAGGAGAGCAAACCTCATGAGAAGCAAAGCCTTCCCCCTAGGCAACAAAAGGGAATGTTGGAAAAGATTCAAGGGAAGCCCATGTTTTACTCCACGTAAAGAATGACTTCCAGATCTTCATAGAATTGATTTCCAGGAGAGATATTTTACCAAAAGAAGTTAGCTTAAATCACTAACAGAAAAGTTTCCAGAGCCTTTGCTGCATGCCAGGTGCTGTTCTGAGTATTCCACATACACAGGTGCACATGGGAGTGAGAAGACAGTTCCATGTTGTCACTTCCCACTGGGAATCAGAGGCACAGAGCAGTCTAGAGACGTCACACAGTGGATAGTGAGCTTTGACGCCTGGTGAGTCGGCATCGAGTGGCTGTTCTCCTAATGTTCGTGTCATTCTGACTTTGCATCCTGGTTTTCAAAACCTGAACAAAACACTTTGAACTTACTTCCTCTGGTGTCCCTCTCCACACTTGGGGAGCAGGTGTTCTTAGTGCCAGTTCACAGGATACAGACATGAGGGCAGAGAGGTCAACACACTCTCAGAAGTTACCCACTCAGTGATGGATAAGCCAGGTGCTGAACCCAAATACTCCACGTGGAGTCAGGCTTTTCCCTCTGTGACCAGGTGCTAGATATCTTTCAGTGTGGAATGGCTTGATATTTTCTTCTAGAAGCATAAGGTTGCAACTGGACCACATCTCATTTGCCAGGGCATTTTATGCCTAACATGAACACAATAGTAATGTAATTCTTTTTAATCAGTTACAGGCTCCAACCATCTTCCCATAATCTTGGATCACCATTATCTTTTTATTTTAATTTACAGTTTATAGATTATTGCCCAAGGATCATCTTTGCCAAAATGAACCATTTCATGTCCAAAGGTATACTTTCTGACCTAGAAATAATGCTCTTTCTCCATCTATTTATATCAAAAGGGTGTGTGTGAGCAGCTCCCGTCTCACTGAGCAAAGCTGCCTCTCCTGTCCTGTTCCCACCCCTAGGGTCTCCTGTGAGGGGACCCTGCCACAGGCTACAGACTAGGAAGCAATACCATTTTCTCCTCCAATGGGCCCCTCTGGTCCCAAGGCTTCCTCCTTGGCTTGGCCGTCCTCTGTCTGTCACAGTGTTCCTAGAGTCACACTCTGAGGGCAGAACCATATTCAAGTTTTATACCCACAGCCTGCTGTTTATACTTTCAGTAGACACCTTTCTTATCTGAGCATGGGTTTGAATTTTAATGGGTGTATTCAGCCCTCAGTGAAAGCACAGAACTCACCCTAGTCCTTACTTAGGTAGGGCCTGCTGTACAACGCTTAGTCAGATCTGAAACATAAGCCCTTTACCCTGAAACTATCACCAGATCTGTTCTCAGCCAGTAAGGAGATTTGGTTATTAAAACAATTGTTTTTTCCCTTAACACATCTTGTCACTTGACCAAATTTACAAAGCTGTGTGAGTTCCCAATGCTGGAAACAGGCCTGTTTTTCCTCCTTTCTTGGAGTGCCTTCCTGTCTGCAGAGGCCGCAGGCCTAACAGGTCAGTACTTCTGTGGCAGTGTGAGCAGGATGTGTGAATGTGAGTTGTTGTGTGTCTCAGTGTGTGCTCTCCCTGACCAAGGAGGGGAAATGAATTCTCTCCTAAACAGTCAATGTGAATGGCTTCTATCAGAATCAGCCACTCCCGAGTGCCCTGGGGAGAAATAATAAAAATAATTCATCCATTTTGTGCAAAACAGTTTAACAGTATGACTTCAAAATGCTCTTTTCTCTTTGCTGGGCAGGAGGGGATATTGAAAGGACTGGTTTTTATTAGTGATGAATGACTTCACAAATGGAGGTCTGTACAGTGTAAAAGGATACACACAACCAGCTGCTCTGTGAAGAAAGGGGTGGCTTGGGGTGGCCAACGGCATGCTCCTGTGGGGAGCCTCGCCAGGGTGAGCGCTCTCCATACAGTGGTCGTGGTCTTTGCACATTGTCTGGACAAGTCCGAAAGCCACAAGTCAATGAGTGGCCCTTCAGGTTAGTGTCCATACACAGACAGCTCACAGAATCCTCTGAGGTGGAGCAATGGACTCAGAGAAAGTGGTACTAAGGTTCCAGGGGGCTTGTATTCTATGATCTGGATAACGCAGGGGAGTCGCTGTTCTTCCACAGCAGGTTTGCCCTAGGGTAGCTGTACCAATCAGGTGCTTTTCCATGTGGAGAGTCAGTGGGCCTCTGAAGCCTGAGTCCTGCCTTCTCACAGGCTTCTTTCCTGGACCTTTTTCTGCCCACAGCATTTTAACTGACATGCAAGCACAGAGAATCTCTGCTGAAGTATTACTGGTAATAAGATATGTCTCCCTGGATGTTTTCATTTTAATAGATGATGCTGTAAGTCTAAATAACAAATAGCAATTAAACTTGACACCTATTGTGGATGTGCCATGAGCCAGCAGCTTGCTGCCAGTCATAAACCATCTCATTAATCTACAGAAACAGTCCAAAGTAAGAGGCTCCTAGGTTCCTTGAGTGGTGAGTGGTGATGCTGACATTTGAAGCCAGAAAATTCAAATCCAAACTCTTGGGTATTGCTAGAGCAAATCAAACTCTACCTGTGGAAGGTCAGGCTGACCTCCAAGCGAGGGTGATCTTAGGGGTCCCAGGGGCCTGCCTGATCCATTTGCTGCTGAGCTGGCCGTCACTCTCCTATGAGTTCCATGAAAATTGTTTTAGTGTGATGACCAACTGCTTGCTGTCATCGGCTAAACTGAATCACTGGGAGCCACACAAGGCCAGCAATTCCACAGGGTTCTACACATCTGTACCAGCACAGAAAGCTGCCTTAGAAGTCCCCATGACACCATAATCAAGACTGCGTTGCTAGATGCCACCCTGCTAGGCACTTTATTCAAACCACTGCAATGCAAAGACTATAGTGTTGGTTACTGCCATGTTAGTAGGGAGCTCGTTGAAGAACTGTGTGTTCTAGAAAATAAAAAAAATCATATCCCATAAATGAAACAATGCAGGCAAATCAGTTACATCATAGAGATTCAAACAATTATTTCTCTTTTCTCCATATTCTGTGTTCCATTCTGCACTAAACTTGCTGTGAAATGATCTAAGTAACATCAACGGTAAGAATAAATGTTTGACCTTCTATGAAGGTTAGTAAATATCTTAACTCAAGTAACACACACACACACACACACACACACACACACACACACAAATAGTGCATTTCTATGCATGGAGATTCCCTATTTCCAGGACTGTTTCAACCAGATCTTGTTCTGTTATCTACTTCCAAGGTCACAGCCCACAGGAAGCTGTGAATGGCGGCCCTCTTTACCTTGCTCTTCCACCACCCTCTTCCACCTGACTGTCTTAGTGACGCCCTGAGGACTAAGGAACCAGCCACACCGAATGGGCAGTTGGAGGTGTGGGCCTCAGTAGCAGGAAGGCCCCACGTCCATGGCTGCTCCCAGCAGCAGATTCTCTCCTGAGCTGTACTCCATATTTAGGCAAGATGCCTAATAGGCATTTGATTCAAACCAGGCTGCATAAGAGCATCTTCTATTGCCAAAGACCAAACCTGCTTAGTCCAAATTAGTTATGTGTTTGTTTATTATTTAGTCTTTGCCTATTTCCAAATTGCATTTGTGTCAGCTCATAACACCAGCCATGCATATCATGGGACCTTTTAGTTGAAGATAAACATTCGTGTTCTGGGATACAGATTTCCCCAAAATTAGGCAGCTGTGTGTTGCTATAGTCTGGCAATAAACATGGCTCTAAGCTTTCTGGAAACCAAAGTCAAAAGGGAACATGTTGAGTTAGACAGAACAAAAACAGCATTTGAAAGGAAGTCACATTTATTTACAAAAATAAATAGGGAGGCACTACAAGTTTAGATTTTGTCACGATTTATTGTACAGGCTAGTTTGGATGCCTTGATGGACACATATCGATAATAATGTTAGCAAAGATGGAGATTTATTCTTTATATGGTCATATCTCAGAGTCTTCTTCTGTGAAATCTGAGCATGTGCAATCAAGCACAATTCTCTAATCTCATTTAGTGCAATGATTCCAGTTCTCAGCCACAGGTAATAGCAGTCCACAGGTAAATTAGCATAGTGCAAAGGTAAAATGTACAAACCTTTTATCAGTGTTCACCAGATAAATATACAGCAGTGAAGATGGTGAACTACAATGGAATAAGCTATTGGCTGAAAGTACATACTGAGGTGACCAGCAATCTGGAACCTTGCTTGTCGGGGTGTACTACTAGCACACCATGCAGGCCCTAGATATGGTGCCAATGCGCAATGATTTCATCCCTGAGCCCTGACATTGCCAGTAGGTCCTCAAGGATCTCCACCCTAGAAGCAGGCCTGCAGGCTGGCCACCCGCTCTTGTAGGTTCAATGAGTTCACTTTTCACGTGACTTTGACTTGAAACCAGGATTTCTGCTACTTTACATACAGCATGTCTATTTTTAAGTACATTATCTTCTTTTTTTCTTCTATGGAAAGACATACTTACTTTAGAAAGTTTAGAAAATGCATATCCACAGAAAGAAATAAAATTAGAAATCTCTTGTAGTCTTCTTATAGCTGTTATTATTTTATAACTATCATTACTATTCCACTGTGTCCGTCTAATAAGATATATGTGTATGTATTTATAGATGTACAGCCAGTTAAATGTATACTTCAATGTACACATGCGTGCATACTAGATGTAAATAGAAAAGCAATAAATAACTTCCTTTTTCCACTCTTCAACGAATGCTTTTCATGATATTGAATTTCTTCTGCCAAGTCTTATTGTTTACATTGTTTAATATTACTCTTTTGAGGTAATAATCCTTATAGCTAGATATATGATTTTTTTTGTTTAGATAACTGCCTAAAATAAGATTTCTAGGCTAAAAGTTTTGGGGGAGATCTGTCCCAGTTGTCCTCTATAAAAGTTATGCCCCTGTGTGGCCGCGACAGTATGAGAGCTCACTCACAGTGTTAGACGCTGCTCATTTGATAGTCGAGTTCCATTTCCCTCTGTATGCTCTTTACTGAACAAAAGCATCCTAGTGTATGCTGTTGTCTGCTAGTGTTTTCCTTTGCTGAACTCCCTCTTGCGGGCTTTGTCCCTCCCACTGAAATGCTTGTCTTGTCACATTTTGTTTCTGTTGCTCTTTATCAAGAAAATTAAGTTGTTGACTGTCATATATACTATAAATAGTCTCCTATTTAGACTTGCCCTTTTCATACATACATGTTCGCACGTGTGTGTGCTCATGCACGTGTATGTGCATCCATGTGGAAGCCAGAGGTTGACACAAGTGTCATCCTTGGTGGCTCTCCACCTTATGTACTGAGGAAGGGTCACTTACTGAAACCAGAACTCACGGATTTAGCTAATCTAGCTGCTTGCTTCCTTCAGGGAGCCCCTGCTCTGCCTCCTAGATGCTGAGATTACAGATTACACCTGCTTGGCATCTACACGGGCGTTGGGTATCTAAACTTTAGCCTTTATGCATCCACAGCCCCCTCGCCCTCTTTAAATGTGTTGCATTTTGTTTGTTTGTACCAGGCAAAGTGGTTAGTATAGACATTTTTAAGTTTTATGTGTTTAATTTCATCTCCTTCCTAGAAAATTCATGTATTTCTTTAATGATAACATATGCTTTCTTTTTAGTAGTTGTCTGGTTTCATCTGTGGGGTATAGTAGGGGTTAGAGTTCTTTCCCAGATGGCAAGCTACTTGTCCTAACAACCAGTGATCTTTGCTTGTGGATTTTAAATACTTACATATGTACATGTGTGTATATGCATATGTATGTACTGGGCTTCCTATTGTTCACTTGGCTTTTAATCTCCACTGTTTAAATGATTTCAGCTTCATGGTTCATCTTAATAGCTAATAGATCAGTCTCCTACAATGCATCCTCATTTTTAGAAGCTCCTATGCTGTTTATAATATTCATATTTATAATTCTAAATGAATTGAAGTAACTTAGCTATGTTTCCAATAGAAAATAATTTGGGAATTATGTCTCTCCATTTATTTGTCATTTTATGGCCCTCAGTAAAATTTTATAGCTGTCTTCACATTAGACTTACAAATTTCTTTTTAAGTATCTTTTGAGCTATTTTTTACTTTAGGGTTCTGTAACGAATGGGGACTTGCCTGTCCATACACATCTGGATCTCACCATCTTACCTTATTTACTGTCTGTGTTCCTGAATAAAGTGCTGAGTTGCCATATAATCAGGATTGAAGGGCTGAAGTTGTCATAGCCCATCATGTCCACATGAGCAAGACCAAAGCATCTCAGCCACTCAGGGCGTATCTTTTGGGTGTGTGTGTGTGTGCACATACGTAAGGGCTGAAACTGTGCATCAGTGTCTTCTTCGGTCACTCTCCACCTAAGTTTTGGGGACAAGGTCTCTGACTGAACCTGGAGCTTGCCAATTTGGTTAGACTGTCTAGCCAGAAAGCCCCAGAGATCCCCCTGTCGCTGCCTCCCCAACACTGAGACTATAGACACATGCTGCTGTCCCTATTTTTCATGTGGTTCTGGGGGATTAAATTCAAATCCTTGTGCTTGTGCATCAGGTGTTTTACAGACCAACCCTCCCCAGCCCTCAGTGCATATATTCAGAGCCATAGAACAAATAAACTCGGCTGATCAGAAGGTCAAATTTCTCGGATATGCATCACAGACAGCAGCGCTGCTGTACCCAACAGTGTCCCTGCTGTTCCTTTATAGCCACTGATCAAGGTAATCCAGACCAGAGCCATGCACCGAGTCAATGGTCCTCATGGTCATTAATCTGAACCTTATTTCCATAGTTATCAAGCTAAAAATTAAGACACCTAGGCAAGAGAAGAACCCAGTCTAGAGGAATGTGGTAGGCATGTGCCAAGTGTCTGAACACACCCATGCTCACTCCCATGGGCACTAGATCCTGCTGTTTCTTAGGGAATTACCTTGAGCTACTGGAGGACAGAATCTTAAACAAGCTGTTCCCGTCCTCCCCTGCTAAAGAGAATGAGGATTTCTGAAGCTAGGGTCTACCAGACATTCTTTCCCTGGGCTAAGCAGCTTTAGGAATGGGATAGGAAGATGTGCAACTGTTTGACACCTGATCTTTGCAACAGCAGAAGCCTATGGAGACCTATTTATTCCCTCCTGTAGACCCCAGAAGGTAGCTTGGTACCACACTTCCTTCCAATAAGTTTCCCTCTGATTACAGCAGCCAGGGTCCATTTTTATGCTTACAAAGAAGTCTAAATGGACCAGGGGAAGTAAGGATCCACAAGCTATTTCACAAAAAAGCAAACCAAACCAAAACAAAAAAACTGCTGCACAAGTTAGCGAAGGAAGGGAGATTCAAAAGCAGCACAGCATGGAGGCAAGGGTACTTGGGACCGTCTTAGGCCAGGTGCACAAAGACAAACAAAGGAATCAAGCTTTGAAGGCCGGTGTTCACCGCGCTCACCATCCTTGTCATTTTAGCTCCGTTTTCTAGTAGCTTCGTTAAGAACACTTCAGCATGGAGGGGAACTTGCTCAAACTTGCTCACACCCTGTCTCTTTCCTTTCCCTTTTAGTTGCTACTAATTTGATGATGATCATTTGATTTATTTTCATCATCTTTTACTTCAAGGGCCGTATTTGCCGCCGCCTCATCTCAGTCGCTTGGAAATTGCACCTGCAAACAGTCTGTTCAATAGTCACACAGAAGAACTTGGTTTTATAGAACAAGTGGCTTTTAGACATGCAAATGAAGGCTGGCATTTCTATTCCTCAGAAGCCTAATTTTCTGCCACTGCAAATAATACAAATGCAGTCTGAGAAACTTATTTAAGAAGACTGGGCTCATAGAAAGTGCCCATGAGAAGTCTTCCAAAGGAGTAAGGGTGTGCAATGGAATGGACACTGGAGATCCCGCCCAGCCACGGGTGCCCAGGAAGAGGGAACACAGGAGAGTTTGTCAGCCTGGCTTACATAACCAGCACTGATGGAGCCGCCTCTGGTTTCTGGCTCTTCAGCTGACTCACTGAGGGCCTGGAACATGTCATTCTATTAATTGGCTCTCATTTTCTTCACTGCTAAAGTGAAAGGATTTTATTATTGTCTAATGGCAGGGCACTGTGCATATACAGAATGTGGCTTTGGAGTAATGCAAGAGCCTGAGGTGTTTGTTCTGAGAGGTACCTGCTATACCTGAATCCCTAATTTCTGATCAGATAGAAATTTCCTAGTCCAGAGGCCTGTTTTCTAAAAGGCATTAGGTTACTAAACCATTATTTTAAATTGAATATTGTGAATTATGTATAGTATGATCCTAATAAAATTGTGTCCTGTCATATAAGCTGATGCTCAGTTTATGAAGATAACCAAAAAGCACACCCGGAAAGATTATTTGAAAATTTATTTTTATAATCTGTTTCCCGGCTGAGACTTTGAGCGTCAGGCTTTCGCCAGAAGCAAACTTTCAGGGCTGCCATTAAACCCCCGAAGAGTAAACCTTCTAATGGTAGCATAGACACGGTGTCTGATGAGTGCCTGCCCACACGCACTGCTGCAGTACAGGCAGCTTCTGTTTTTAGATACCTGGGCCTATTTTATAATCATTGGGGGCGAGGGGCATTGACATGCCTCACTCTCTCGCACAAAATTTAAACAGTATAGCCCACTATTTATTCAGTTTAGAATGATTTTCATCTAAGAAAATCAATGTGTAAAAATATGAAGGAAACAAGTCTTGATTACCAGGCAATGTTGAACTTTGAAGTCTGAGTCTAGAGACAAAAAGCCTGAAAAAAATTAAACATACAAAGGTTAAAACAAGTATTGCTCTGGTCCATTCACTAGGGAACTGACCAGGATGTGCACACATGTATACACCGCGGTGAAATCATGTCTGTCCTCTCACCCGGGCACGTTTTAGGTCTGTAGTCACAGCCCTCGTTATACTGCCTGATAAGAAAGAGCTGACACGTGGAAGCTCAGGTCCACTCATCTGTCAGGGCAGCTCATGAAAGGCTTTTACGGCGTGAGCAGGTTGGCAAAGGGGAAGCCCAGAAGGTCTTTCACAACAGCCAAGGGGTGGGGATGGGGGACTCTCCTAACGCGGTAACTGTTACTGGACATGTTGAGACTTGGCTTCATCTGTGTGACTTGGCTCATTAATCCTCGTCTTGACTATCTCATAGATGAGCCAAAATGGGTTTGAAACTGAAGAAGGCTTTCAGCTCAGAGGTGAACATGTTCCATTTGGATTGCTACTGGATGTATTGCATGACTAGGTTGGGATATAATATTTCTGGCAGTCTGTAATCAAAGCAAGTTGCCAGGAGGGTCTTAGCTTGAATTGTTTCTCAAAACAAATTTGGCCAGTTCCGCTTCTAAGTTCATATCATTGGCCAAAAACTCTTAGCTTGAAACCTCACTGGCTCCTGCACTGACAGGACTACGTGAGTCTCACTTAACCAACAACTCAATAAATGAGTATTACTGTTTGCCAAGCCCCAAATAAAACCTAGACGCTCAAAATGGAGGGCCTTCAAGCTGCAGAAACAAGCACCCATCCGACATTCTCAAGGGGATTAGTTAACCAACACACTGAACCTTGGGCAAGCATGCCCTGATGCTGGTTCAGTAAATGTAGGTGTCAAGCACATCTCCTCCTCTTATCAGCTCACACACTTTCTTGAACCGCATTGTTCCCATGTCAATACCTAAACAAACAGCGCAGGTAACATTTACCTCTGCCTTCTTCAATATGAACATTCTAAGCCAATACGTAACACCTCATGGTAGAAGGAGATAAAGAGGAAAAGAAGCTTCTTTCTCAGGCACTCATACTCTGCATAGATATATCGAAAATGTCAGAAGATGACACAAATAACCAACATATGGGTGATAGAGAAAATGAAATCCAAAGTGCCTACGACTGGATCCATCTACCAAATTTGATGGAGAGGAGTACTAACTCAGTTTTTTTTTCCTTTTGCTGTGACAAAATGGTCTGATGAAAGCATCTTTTTAAAAAAAATATTTTATTTATTATTTTTATTTTATGTGTATGAGTGTATTGCCTGCATGTATGTAAGTGCACCTATGTCATGCAATGCCCTCAGAGGTCAGAAGGGGACAATTTGATTCCCTGAAACTAAAGTTACTGATGGTTGTTAGTCACTGTGTATGTCCTGGGAGCCAAACCCAGGTCCTCTGCAAGAGCAGCCAATGCCTTCACCGCTGAGCCTTCTCTCCAGCCCAGACAGAAGCATCTTAAAGGGTTTGTTTTAGTACACAGGCAAAGGTACAGTCCATCATGACAGAGAAATCACCACAGCAGGAGCTGGAAGCAGCTGTCCCATGGCACCTGTACCCAGAAGACTAGAGCAATGCATGCTGGTACTTCATTTGCTTTCTCTATCTTGCCCAGTCCAGGGTCTCCTGCTGGAGAATGGTCTTACCCACAGTCAAGATGGGTCTTCCCACATCAGTTAATGGAATCCAGATAATCCCATCCAGGCGTACCCACAGGCCCTTCTTGAAGATGGTTCTAGATCTATCAAATTGACAATGAACACTAACCAACACTGATAACAATTAGTTCACTTAAGGGTCTTCAGGATCCTCCCCAGTGAGGAACACTCATATGGGAAGGTACATCCTAGCTCATTGGTGAGATTAGCAATTAGAAATTTGGGCGATATTGCTATAGGCATGCTCACTGATTGTGAGGAAATGGAAAAGGAGTGGGCTGAGGCTGATGAACTATCAAAATTTGAGGTGAAATGTCGGGTCTAAGCAGAAAAGGAGTTCTCTTCCAGCATTCCCTGGCCCTCAAGTTAGCTTGAATAAGTACTACTACATTAGAAAGAACTCACATTTACAGCTGGGAGGGGTCTGCTGCTGAGAGAAAATTTATAAACCTTGCAACCTAGATGTAAAGCAACTGCAAAAAATGCGTGTGTACTTTCTGCACCGGAGAAATCAGAAATGATAACCTAAGTCTATAGTGCTTTCCCTCTTGATAGTCTTATGTTCTATAGACTCCTGATCAAGCTGCCAACTACGGTGCTGCCAAACACGGTGAGCTAGATAGTAAATTTACAACAGAAATTTGGATTCCTCTATGTTCCCCGAAGGAGTTTTCCATTCCGTTAAATCTTTGACTTCACAGCTCCAAGTTCTCTTTCGGCGGAGGTAGCAAACCTGTCAGAAATGTCTCTTTTTACTAGATCAAGAATAAATAAATGTGTGGTGTGGAAAAATAACCCATCAGCCTTGAAACCCCTGAGAGTGCTGTCTGAGAGTGAGACACATTTTTTCTTTCTTACCCTCTTTTTGTGTTCTGATGATATAATCAATACTCCCCGTCTAAAAATGCAATATTCTCCGATTTTAGAAACCCCTCAAGTCTGCATTGAATGTCAAAGAAAATCATGCTCCATGTGACAAACGTTTATTTTTCTGCTTCTGTATCTGATGACTTCATCAACTTTTAATGAGGAAAGAACTATGGATAATGTTATCACTTGCAGAGACTGTAGGTGACAATCGGCCTGAATAAAACATTTAGATAGAAGAAAACCAAGAGCCCTACCACTAATCAATCCACATAAACATTTGTTTGTATGGAAGAAGAAATATTTTCATCTCCAGTTTTCTTTCTTTTCAAAGTGAATAAGCATTTCTTTTTAAAATTTTTATTTATTTATTTATTTTATTTTATGTGTACCAATAAGTATTGCTTGCATGTGTGTAAGTGCACCTGTGCCGTGAGGTGCCCAGAGAGGTCAAGAGAGGACGTTGGGTTGCCCTGGAACTGGTGTTACAAATGGTTGTTAACTGCCATGTGGGTGCTGGGAGTCATATCCGGGTCCTCTGAGAGAGCAGTCAGTGCTCTTAATCACTGAGCCAGCCCTCCAGCCCTGAATAAGCATTTCTCGAAACAGGGATTAATTCAATGGACAAACAGGCATTTGAACACGTAGTATCTTTTGGAAACGATTGCAGGTTAGAAACAATACAGAGGCAAAGAGGGTGGCCACAGCCATTGAGGGTAACTAAGGGCAGAGGGAGACACTGGGTAATCCAGTGGGCAGGCAATCAGTGTTTTGAGGGGTACCGTGCAGTCCTTTCATCCCACCATATGTAGACCTTGACACAATATGAAAACTGTTCCATTTATATCACAAACACTTAAAATTTGAAGGTGCTTATAAGTTACCTGCCTAAGGCAGTGTTTGCCAGACTTTCTTGATTCTTACTGGCAAAAAAATAAAATAGGTATATCATGAAGTATATGCCTACATATTTATTTTCATTTGTTGCCCGTAAGAGTCCTTATATTATTTTAGAACACATAGGAATGCTTGTGTAGATTACCAAGTTCTATTTTCTTCCATCTTTCAGAAGGTTGTTTTGCCCCAATTTGAAAACCACTGTTTTAGACAACCTTCCTTACTGGGGTGAGAAGACAGTGAGTCAAGCAATGACTGTAAACTGAACCCATCATCCAAGCCGGTTCATGTCTGAACTGTCACCTATGGACTCTAGGTCTCCTCATTCCCAATGGAGAACATTTTTTCTTACATAATTTGCAACCACGTGATCATGAACCTTGATCACATAAGCAACAAATAAATATGGATAAGATGTTCTTCCAGCAGTGCAGAGGTGTGAAAAACAGAGAATGGTGTAAATGGTACTATGCTAATCAAGTGAATCCTCTGGAAATGGACCTTGCTAGAAATCATTTACATACCAAAAGAATCGTTACTTTTACTAAATAATTTCAG